GAATGATGAATAAAAATTCTAGTTTAATATTGTGCCGTGTAAATTGGTATCGTACATATTTGATTTCTGATTTTCTTCCGTACCTATTTTAAACAGAACAAACTCTTTTCTTAGCTGTTGAAGTTTGTTTTAGAAACCTTCAATATCAGCTTTATATTTAAGGAGAAATACTAGAGCGCCTGGGCTTCTTACTTCACTATAACTGGAGAGTTGATCACCATCAACATCACGTCATCACATCAACAGCCTATAAATGCCCACTGCTGACCAAAGCCTCTTCTCACACGGAGAAAGTTTGAGCATTAATCACCACGCTTGCTCGATGCGGGTTGGCATCAACACCTATGATGAATGGGATACAAGATTCTCTGAATAGTAGTGTATGCTATATATAGCATACACTACTATTCAGAGAATCTTGACTACCATATGGTAGGAGCAGATGATGTAGGAGAATCAGCTCCGAAGTTGCCACTCAGCAAAATCATAAAGGGCATTATGCTATGATGGGTGTTCAATGTTTATACCCGTGAAACCCTTGTGAAATTAATGTTTTGTAATTTTAACTACTAAAAGCACAACACATACTGCAATTGTTAAAAGGTTTGCATGCATACCTAATTAAACTAATTAATCAATTTCCAGCGTACTGTTAAGGTAATTGTTTACTGAATTTACACGCCAATTATTGGTAACAATGTCAATGTAGTTGGCATATATCTTGTTATAATTGACGTTATATTGTACAATAGACCAAATCAGAGCCTTGTGTCCTAAAATACTAGCTGAACTATACTTCGTACTGCTTAAAAAAATCTCACCTTTTAAATGTTCTCTGGACTTCTACGAACAGTTCAAGATCGTAAATAGGCAAATTAGTTCAACCGTTCTCAAGTTTTAGAAAGACTAACGAACAGGAATTTATTTTTATTTAAATATACAAAATAAAATCCTTAACATCAACAAAATAGAAACATAATCCGATTAAAAGTATTGTTACTAAGCTGTCAATAAAAATGTTAATCCTTCATCCTTTCCAATTAATCTAATCTTGAACAACAAAGCCATTGGAGGGAACATTTTTGTAATGAACATATATAACAAAATATTTTAGTTCGACAGTACTTATAGAATAATTTGGGGTCACTATGAAGATAGTGTCAAATATCATTCTTAGTAGGTAATGATCGGCAGACGATACCGATGCACTGTAGAAAATATTGTCAACAGCCCTTGACTGTGCAACAGGTCCTTACTGGACAATTGGATTGCGTTTTAAAAGCTTTAGTTTTTTATCGAGGGCTATCCGATCTGCATATAATCATCAGCTGGTTCTGTGACACCCACGGCAAGAACAATAGTGATGACTAGAGACCGGATAATATGCATTTGCATATTTGCATATGCATTTGCATATTTAAGCGATTTTCAAGGCTAATAGCATATTTTTACTAATATCTAGTGATGATGCATATTATTGCTATAATTTACAGTAGGTAGGTATTTTTCGAGCGTAGCGCACTCGGCAGCCGCGCGTATTTTCTTTTGGTAGGTACTCAAAAAATGAAAGAGACAAAGTTTTTGTGTGTGTACAATGCATCCCGAAAAAAAGTTTGTCTTCGTGGATAAGTGAATGTTCCAGGACATTTACTTACGACGGAAATGTTTTATATTGTCGAGTTTGCGAGAAAAACATTTCGTGCACTAAAAAGTATCAAATAGACCAACATGTCAAGACAAAGTTCACGTCGCAAAATACTTAAATCTAAAGGAATAATATTTACAAAACAAAAAAAACTCATTTAATGTTGCATATTCTGTCAGTTTACGTGCATATTTTAGGCATTTTTCATGCATATTTGCATGCATATTTTAAGCTTTTTATGTTGCATATTATCCGGTCTCTAGTGATGACCAATGTCTTCTACTCTGCTATCACTATAATGGCTAACAGTACGTAAAAGAGTAAACATTTTACATTCAAAAGATAAAATTCCACCTCCATGAAATCGATTACATCGAAGGTTGATAAAACAAATACAAAAACTAAATACCGTCTGATCAATACAGCTCCTGTAAAGCGAAAGGATTGAAGCAAAAATCACGTAAATCGGATTAGTTTGATTGTTAAGCTTTATACCTATATAATAAACAACAATCGATGGTATTTTCCATCGATGAGAATAAATGTAGGCGGATCTTGTCTGAAAAATACTTTTTCTTCGTAATTGTATTTGAAATTTGAGTTCTTTTAGTCACCAAGAAGATTTCTGCTTAAACAGTCCATGGGAAAACTAGTCCCCGAGCGACTTCAATTAGTTTTAATTCACATAGTGCTGTATTTTAAGTTTAAGTTTATTCACTCATAGAGTATTTGGTTCTCTTACAATGAGCTTAAATGAATAATTATAACTAGGTATACAGAGTTAAGACCAAACGGTATTAGTAAATATTATCAAATACATATTTTCTCAACCTATTTTTAAACATGGTCAATCGACTGACACTCTTTAATATTGTTTGGCAAATTTATAATTGTGCTCCCTCACATGTTATACATCTTTTACCCTATTTTGTTTTGTGCCTTTGTAGTTCTTTTTTGTATTTCTCAAGGAATGATATAATGATCACAAAGTGAACTTAATGTCAAATTGTATTTGACCCGATAGTATTTTTGTCACCAGCAAGCACAGCACATTGTAAATGTACATCTGTTGTAAGTTAAATATTTTTGTTTTAGTGTATAATTGGTAAGATCATAAATCATAGATCATAGTTAAATAGAGATGTAATGTGCTTTGTTTTGTGAAACTTGAAGGTCATTCAAATTAGATTTAGCAGCACATCCCCATATTTTTATAGAATACTACTACTAAGTGAGACTCTACGAGAGAATTATATATGATCATACGTACTGCTTGTGGAATTATGAGTATCTACCTACTGTAGGAAACTACTTGATGTGCATGTATGAAGATTCAATAGCTTCTGTGATTTCTCTTTAATTTGTATTATCCGTCAAGCGTGTCTTTACATTGATCTCACAACAATATTGGAATATGTATCAGAGAGAATGTAAAACATACTTTTTTTAAAACGAGTAACAATTATTTATTTTATATTTCTTGACGTTTAAAAGTGCCAAATTATAGTTTAATTGAAATAAATGCTTATGAGTTTGGGTTTAGAGAATCAAACCAACTTTAAAACATTAGTACTTATCAGACGCAGCCGTATTTATATGTACGAGCATAATGAAATAAGTACTATACACATGTGCATCCTTACTAATATTACCTCTATAAATCGGAAAGTGAGTTTTTTTGTTTGTTCCGCTTTCACGCCATAACCACTAAACCGATTGCTTTGAATTTTTGCAGATGTATATAGTTAGAAGTCCGGATTAAATAATAGGGTACTTTTTATCCCGGAAAAATTTGATATTCCCGAGGGAAAACAAAAGTATTGGTATAGATGGCGCTGTGTGTATATGTCACATTGGCTTTTTATCCTTTTGTGCCGCGAGCGAAGCCGTGGGTAAAAACTAGTTCTAAATAAATAAACAAGTAGGTAATGTTTCGTATGAAACCAATTAGGGTTTAAATAAGGTTATTTGGTAATTGGATTTAAATACAATGGTTTTACTTCTTTACAAAACAAGGTATTATTGTAAATGTGAATAAATTCTAACCTTATGGTAACTAAATTAAGTACTAAGTACGAAATACACATTATGAAGGTTGATTTGAAAATTAGATATATATATAAAATTGAAATAAAGTAGTCAATATTCACAGTGTTCCTTTCAACTTCTAGTAGGTATATGTAGTAAGTAAAAAAACGAACAGCTGTTCTTGATAAAGAAAATGTGTAATCAAGTTTTTAATTATGTAAAGTATTTAGTTTTCTAGCCTCCGGGTTTTAAACCCCTTTGCGCAAAACAATATAATATCTTTTACATACTGTTCACCGTTAGCTAGGCGTCACAATACAAATAATAGATTAACGTAGGTTATATATTTTGGCCTCACTGCATAGGTGTTGTGTGAGTTGAAATACTGAAATTCTGATTAAAAAATGACGATGAAAAATGATATTAATTATTTATTTCTGCAGTCCCATTATTTATTATAATTAGTAATTATAAAAAATTGGCTGCGCGATATTGCCGCGACCGCGCACGCTGCTCATGATGAAGAACCCCTCTGTGGTTCGAAACTAGTAGAGCTTTTCTTAGTATATATTTGCGTGAGTAACCCACGTGTTTTAGTTAATTTTATTATGATGGTCATGAATTCCTTTGTGTCAGATGTATTTGTATGACTGAACGTAATGATATTTAAAATTGTATCACTTAACAATATCTAACTATTATATTCTGTTTGTTTCTAGTAAATTTATTATTTCATTATTATTGACATTGTTAGTCCATCTTTGATATTTAGGTACTTATATATTTATTATAAAATTAACTCGTCGAGTACCGTCATTGTAGACACAATTATAGAACAATAGGTCACGGTCACCGGTGACCGCTTGGTGTTTGACAGTTGAATTAATATTTGTACACCAGTTACATGTTTTGGCAAATAAAAAATACATCTCTATCTTTATGTTGAAATAAGTGAATCTACGTAAACATCGTATGGCGCAGTAATGCTTGGACATCTACAAAATGTGTATAATTTTAACTCATCCTGTTTAATCCTGCAACACTCTTTGCTAGCGGTTAATATCCACGTGTAATAGAGAATATTTTTTTGACTTATCTCATACTTTAAGGTTATCCAAATAGCTGTAGGTATAAGTGATTTTGTCATGATGCCTTCATGCCAGCTTCTGTTATGATTCGACCGTGTTTTGCGGGCGTTGTCAGTCAGTCAGTCAATAACTGAAGAATTTTATACGTATGAACATTTTCTATTTATATGTTTATTTATGCATCTATCCTATAACTATCATATTTCTTGTTACAGGCCTAGTATTTTTACAATACCGGAATGAAACGAAACGAGCGTTGCTGCCAAACGAGATAACTTCTATAGATACTGTCAAAGCACTATTTGTAAGAAGTTTTCCCAAGCAATTAACGATGCAGTACATGGACAGTCCACTAGTGAAGATCTACATCCACGATTCTTCGAAAGATATGTTCTATGAACTAGAAGATGACAGGTTAGTGAAAGTTTTTGTTTAAATCTGTTGAAATATTTCCAGTGATGTGTATTACAGCATTGTAATTGTTGCCATAGGAGACATATTCACAAGTTCTTTGATTATAGTCGTGTGTTGGTGGCGTAGTTATTTGTTACCAAAATCTTCTATATATATAAATTGAACCCTTTTCCCGTTGTCACGCCATAACTTGAGGACGGCTACACCGATTTCGCTCTTCTTTAATCTTTTCTTTAGTTGTGTTTGTTATTGTCAGAAGAAGGTTCTTACGACCCTACGGGAACGGGAGAAAACGGGACTGCGCGTACGAAGTCCCGGGCAGAAACTAGTCCCTGATAATCTTGAATCTTTTATTTGAGGTCACCTGCCGAGTGTAGAGGTTATGGCAAACCCTTTTGTATAATACACGAGGTTTATTGAAATCAGAATAAGACAGTAAATTGTGTCGTAACATATAAATGATAAAGGCCACGTTGCATCATTTGAAGAATGCATGCAATCGTCAAAACTCTAGGCGGATTTAACGTTGCCGCTTTGTGGACAGTTTTCATCATGTTTCTTAGCAAGATGCAAGCTATTGCTATTATTTATTTTCTTGTTGTTTTTTAAAAACATTGCCCCCCATTAGGATTTTTTCCTGTGTCGTGGGTGCGTTTACAAACATACAAGTTCACATACGCATTGACACCCAGACCCGAAACAACAATTTGTGGATCACACAAAGTGTTGTTCCGTGGGGGAATCGAACCCGCGACCCGTTGCGCGGCAGCCGGTTGCCCAGCCACCGCACCAACCATGCAGTCGAAATGGTTAAATGTAAACAGTAACTCTGTTACTGAATTATATTACATCTTATTATTTAATCACCGGTTGAAATTTGCTGCAATCGCAAGAAATAGTTTCGCTTCGTGAACAAATCAACAAAATAAGAAGTTACAAATGTATGACAATGGCCCATGTAATACGTTTACCTGTATGCAAGTAATAGTTTAAGAGCCGGCGACAGATTTTTATCATTGAGTACATTTTAAGAGGTCAATTAATTAAAATGCGAGTGACGCGTGCAAATTGAACTCCATATTGGAAAATAAACAGAATGCCGCTATTGCTTTTTAGTGGGGTAGGTCATCCAAGTATCTCACAGCACTTGCAATCACGGTGCTAATGATATTTTACGTGATCTGTGTTTAAAGTGAAATAAACGGACAATCATAATTATGTATGACGGCAGATAGAGACCGGTGAGTGATCTCTAATTTTCTACTTCGAATAACTAAGCTGCGTCGTTGGCCGAGTGGTCGCAAGTGCGACTTCCGGGCATGGGGTCTCGGGTTCGATTACCGGGTCGGGCAAAGGAATACTGGGTTTTTAAAATCTCAGTAGTTGCACGGAGTCTGGAAATGTGCCCGGTATATGGCAATAGGCTCACCCTCTATTACATGGGGCTCATAACATAAATAGCGAAAAGTGGATCTAACTTCTGTGTTCACCTCTGCTTACCCCTTTGGCAATAAAAGGCGTGATGTTATGTTATGTTATGTAATAACTAAGCTAATCAGATATATGGTCGCGGAGAACCTAACGGGTTACCGGGGCTCCGGCTCGACGTGCAGGAGAAGGAACGGGGTGGTTTTTAGTTTTCCCCCCTTAATAAAAATCAGATATACGGCTAAGTCCAGTACCATGCAGTACATTATACTCAACAAACAATCTGTTTCCTAGATTTCACTCCATCACCAGCATTTTCGCTGTCTTGTTGCGTGACAAATATTTTTTACGAATATCAATTTCAGCATTTTTTGCAGCCGACTCTTAGACTAAGAGGTTCCGATTTGAATTTCTTGTAGTAACACTATTCGGAATGCAATTTAAACTCGATTTCTCATGGAAATAAAGTCTACTCGAATAAAGGCCGTTCCTGTGAGTACATACATAGGTATATTGAAATATGTTTTGTGCACTTTACAGGTATACTGAATGTTAATACTTATTTTATGTATGACCATGTGACTATCAAACAATAGAATTTAGTTCCTGAGTCAGCCAAAAAATGTTTAGAGTAAATTAACTAAAATCGTGGGTTACTCACGTGAATATACTAAGGAAAGCCCTACTTACTTTACAAAAAAGGAGTGAGCTGCGCGACGTCGCCGCGACCGCGCACGCTGCTCATGAGGAAGAACCCCTCTGTGATTCGAAACTAGTAGAGCTTTTGTCAGTATATGCACGTGAGTAATCCGCGATTTTAGATAATTCATTATGTCTCACGATAGTTATTATGTTGTGTAACATGTTTAGTATTTTTGGAAACGGAAACTCTTAGCAAAAATGTATTTAGGAAGTCAAACATCATCAACAGCCTATAAATGCCCACTGCTGAGCAAAGCCTCTTCTCACACGGAGAAGATTAGAGCGTTAATCACCACGCTTGCTCAATGCGGGTTGGTGATTTCAAACTTATAATTAGAAATTATAAGTCCAGGTTTCCTCACGATGTTTTTCCTTCACCGTTTATCAGTGGTGTCTAAATAATCTTAGAAAGTACATATAACTCGGAAAAAGTCACATTGGTACTTGCCGTTGGTAGGTTTCGAACCCGCACCCTCATGCATGAGAAGTGGGCGTCTTAAACCTCCGGGCCACCACGACATTCAAACATATTGGTATTGTAACTAGGAACAGTGTTACAGTAAATATTCGTTTAAATCTAATGGCCGTATTCATTTATCGATGTACATGTAACGATTGGGTGATCGTTTGATTATTTCATTTTCATTTACATCGGGCAGTCGTCGACATCATCGATATTAGTCAACCGTTACATAATAAAATTATCGATAATTACTGCAAACGTTTAGTTTTATACGCACGTATTCACACGACATGATTTGTTTACAATTTTATACGAACCTCAACCATTTTGGATTGGATTAAAGTTGATTTTTATAGAAAGATGAAAACTTAGTCTTCACAATAAATAAACGATTCCTTTGTTACTCTATTCAGTAAATGAAAGATCATTAGATTTTTTTAAAATTAATAATTAGAATGTAAATGGTGTATTAATCATCATTTATCATGGGACTGCAAAACATCCAAAAGTGTGATTAATACGAAATTGTGAATGGCATAGTACATATTACATACATTACATTTAATTACCACACCTACTTATCCCGCGGGACTCCGGCTCGACGTGCAGGAGAAGGAACGGGGTGGTTTTTAGTCGGTAAGAGTCTGACACTCCCTCCCGCCTCACCCAGGCGGGAGCAGTCATTCGATGATTTTCCCCCCTTAAAAAAATACACTAGTCGGTTCTCGACACCCGTGCGAAATTCCTCTTTTTAAACCGTTATGCGATGCGACTATGGCTTACCCCAAGGATATTGAAAACAAACAAACATAACATCACATAGAAATGATGGCTAGTGCTGAAAAGTAGCGCCGTGGGCTCGAGCCTCTGTGCCCGGTCCACGGTATTAAGCTGAGCTCCAGCCTTTTACACTGCGATGCACCATAGGCTTTTTGTGTGTACCTAAATTCTTCTTGTGTGTCGTGGCAAAATTAATGGCTTTTCTTTCTTTCTTTCAAATGATTGAATCACCAAAATATCAGTGGGTTATTTATGTGTGTGTGTGTAGTGGGCATAGCACGTTATCAGACTTAAGAAAATGACTGATGTCCTTCGTGTCAATGTATATGTTCTGCGTGTACGTCTATAGTAATCAGGTGCCACAGTCGTTGTTTCAAGTGACTGTGTTTGCCTTTCTTCAATATCCTTGGCTAACACTCTTATTATAGGAAGGAGGCCCCTAGTTTTGGAAAGGTAAATTTTCTCTTAATTCTCTATACGTTATTTAATTCCCATTTCAGAACAGTTCAGTTTCTCATTTCTCAGTTTACCTTTAATTTCTTAAGACGAATTTAGGTCATTCTCTCAGAGCCCCAGTGTTGCAAAATTAACGCGATCAATGCCTAAACCTTAACTCGGTAAACTAAGGTCTATAGATTTAGTCCGTACCTATTTGAGCTGTCTGAGTCTAGGCCCGATAATTTAGACTGACGAGCATACGAAATAGAGAAGGACAGTTCTAAATCTAATTTTAACGTCGTATGTCAAGGTGCAGACTTTGATGTTAGTTAGCTTTGTACCTAGTCTTAATAATAGTTGACGTATGAGGGCGAGGTTTCGCCATGATTGGGGTCAGTTCAGCCGGAGAAATAACCCAGTTTGACAGAAAACTACGCTTGCATTGCTTCCCTTTTGAATTGAAATTATTTGGTATATTTGGCGAGTATGCGACATATTACGTATTTGGTTTGTACAAACATAAGTTGCAACTGTAAATAAAATAAATACCTAAATACCAATTAAATACCATGGAGATTACCTGAAGCTGACACGATGATAGGATAGGATGTACGTTCAACATTTTCTATTGGCGTTTAAAATCTTAAGTACTTAGGTGGATAAAAATAACAAGATAATGTTCCGAGAAAATCTCTCGCAGAAGACGAGAATGTAATAACTACAAGACACTTTAATATGGGGTTTATTAAAGTGTCTTGTCTCTTCACCTGTTGAAGAAAATTCTTAAGCTTTTATTACTTAAATTCCGTTAAATAAGGACCAAGTATCGGCTCATAACGTTCGCTTTGTTGTCATTACACGGGAAGCGATTGCTAACCTTGCACTTTATCAAAGCTGGAAGATTGAAGCGTAAAATAATGGAAGTAGCGTTTGGAAGTGACTTCGTACAAAATTAAATAGGTGATAGCCGTTTTTAACTACGCGTGTCCTTTTCTGCCCTCCTCTAAGAACATGTATGTCGAGTTTCAGCTTCCCAAGTCTATTAATTTCTGCTGCTTATTATCCGTCAGTCAGTCACTCATTAATGGAAACGTTTTACTATATACAGATTAATGCTGATAAGACTGCCTCGTTGGCCGAGTTTTCGCAAGTACAATTGCCGGGCAATAGGTCTCGAGTACGATTCTCG